AACAGCGCCTATGAGTACGAATGGGCAGAGATTAATTTTCTGGTTTATGGAAAAACGTGAAGCATACCACTCGAAGTGCTTCAGCGTACGCTGTCATGTCTGTCATAACAACCACCACATGTCGTCCACATTGATAAGCAAGAAATTCAGCAGCTGTGAGCGCCATTCGTGGCGTAAGTACTCTTTCAATTGTTGGATCGCTTGCTGTGTTCAGATACATGCATACATTCTGCATGTCTCCTGAAATCCAAGGGAGAGTCCTTGCTGTTCACAGCCATCATGCTCTGATGAAAGTATTCTACTGCTCAACTTTCTGAGCAGAACGCCCTCATCAAGAAGCAAAAGCTGGCAACTACAACTTTAAAAGCTCAATTTTTCCCTTCCGTATATGAGTCAATGAATACATTTCATATTCATTTACTGATTGATTTATTTATTTGATAAGCTAACTAATAGCTGATAAGCTACCAAAGGTTTGTAAAAGCACACCAATATGTGCATCAGTCTCTTGCTTCATATCACAAAGATCTAGTGGGCGTGCCCGCGTACACTTTTTATGTGGGGATTAATCGTTTCGGGCCAACTGTAATCATGTTTCCATCCACCACAATACAAAATGACAATTGTTCCAAATGGGAATTTTTTTATGAAAAACGCATCCTACGCGGTATTCAGGTGAAGTACGCGACCACGAGCTCTCCATTTCCGCGATATGGGATCTAACAGATCAGGCTCGATGTACGCTACCAATTTTAAAGGAGATTTCTCCAACACGTCGCTCAATATGACAGTTCCATAAGTCAAGCTTTATCTACATAGCACTGTGAAGACATGCAGTCCTTATCCATGCAAACGAGAGGGCGTGTGAAGGGGCGTAGATTGGGACATAGCCTGGGCAGCCCTTCTCGCCAACGGTTGCAGCCTCAGAATGGCACCAGTTGAATGAAAAAGGATGTGTGAAACTGATGCACTCATTACCTAAGCAAACACCTGGACAGCTTGCGTCCTCCACCGTCTGAGCAACAGTCTCGTGAACCTGCACGGAAGGAAGGGCACGTTGGGGATCTCCAGAGAGGGTCGTATTTGGTCGGTGGAGGGAGAAAGTCGTATCAAAGAAGGAAGTTTTGAGAGGGGAGGGGTCGTACTCTGCAGAAACTTTTCCCAAACGGCAGGGTGTACCCTTACGCGAAGGGCTCAACCTCATTACGCAACTTCTTCTGGCTTGCAAACACTGGACACCTTCCTGAGCACGAGAACCTTGATCTACGGCTTCGCATTCTCTTGATCGTGGAGACAGCGCATAAGAGCTTGCTTCTGCTCATACTTGAAGACCTCTGGAGGATCCCCCACTGTCTCCACTTTATCCCCGTGCTACAAGAGAACCGATTCCGAAAGCAAAGGCAGGTTTTAGCTCAAGACTAGTGACGCCCGCGGTGACACTCGTTCCGCTTCAAACTCTTGTTTGAAAAATCTAGCAGTTGCCATGTTCACTCCCATAGCAGCGAATACGATCGCAAATTCGTGAGAAGATTCTTTTTCAAGAAGGCCTGAAAACTGGGAAATGTTACCTAAAGAGTATATTCCTTTAGTGACTAAACCACTGATATCGTCGCAATCAGTCGAGGCGGTTGCAAGGGATGTACTGTAGGCACGCCCGCGCCACCAGCGTTCATCACTGGTAGAACAAGACAGGTGGAGGCGGATTCATTGTGCCCCCCCCCCTGCCACCGTCCCGGCTGAACAGCGACGCTATCAACTATAAAATGCCAGCGGGGCTACGGTTGTGTACATCACCAGTTCTCAGAGAACGTTTTTATGATTTCTACAAGTATAGTTGGTTGTAGAGTAGTCCCAGACAGGGCGCATCATCGTTGTGTAAAACGCAACGGGGGGCGGGGTGACATCTCTCTAGTCTTGTCGCTGCGGATGCAAAGACCATTCACGGGGCTGAGTCTGGCGCGGCGCCAGCCGTTCTCCTGCATTTGGTGAAGAAGGGAAAGCGACAGCAGCTGGTGGAAAGCGCTCAGGCGCCGTTTCAAACTTGGCTCCTCCCCGCTGCTGATGTGCCTCAGCATCCACAGAGAATAAGACTGTATTTAATGTTGTGTAAGTTACTGTCAGGAAAATTCCAGTGGGGGGGGGGTTGGAAGTGCGTTGTATTTTGCAACGAGCGGCATACTGGCTCCAGCATAGTTATACCGAAAATTACTTGCCTGCTTGTCGAACAATTTGCCCAGCGATTTCGTTATGCGGCAATCCAGAACCGGAAAATATTGCGATTTTCTGAAAAACAGTGTCTTAAAAGCCAACAGGCACCCTCTGTCTTTTGCTAATCCACACTGCGGAGTTTATGGACCTTCTATAGGATCACCTTAGATGTAGATTAGATATTATGAGGACTGTAGATCCTTTCTAGGTTTCGTGGTAGTCGTATAGGCCTAGTCAAGTTAACCATTACGCGTTTCTCATTGGAGAACTTCTCTGCCATAAAATAAGGGAGGACAGCCAGGAAAGAGCCACGACGTTATTTTCGTCCCCGCCCACAAGACCAGTGCAGAATGGAGTTTACATGGCTTCTATCCTTGCACCTATGATGAGTATCATCACGCCTAGTGCCGAAAGAACATATATCTGTTATTGAAAGGCTGTGCCAGAAAGAGCGGAATGGGCCCGCCCCGGCCGCTTTTTCTACCATTCCTGATGGGTTAGCGATCGTTCCAGGGAGAAAACAACCAGTGGTAGAAACGCTGTAGGTACGCTCACTCCTTGCTCCCTGACACCAACCCAACTGATCGCAATGATATCAACAGTAGTTTGTTTGCCACTGCTATTTTGATGTTTTTTTTTGGTTTCCCTCACAGCCGTAGGAGAGTCTTGAAGGTTCCCCAGCTCAAGTCCCCTAGCATGGGTTCCTATACCGTTCCGTTGTAATTTTAGACTATACTGCTCTGCAATTATGCAGAAATAGCAGTGTTAAATCAATGCAAGGTCACCTGCCCTCTGGAAATTGTGGTCATCACATCAATGGTCGATATCCCTGTTTCAATCATTCGCTTCGGATATACACGCATATATGGATTTACAGCCATTCCATTGACATCCATGAAGTCCTCAGCGATTATAGGGGGACCCTGGAAGGATTTCAGTTGCAATTCACCATAGAAAGTCAATTAAATGTTCATTATAAAGCCTTTCAGCAAGGCTTTAGACAATCTCTTCGAGATGGCCGCGCGGCCTACTCCCATTTATAACCACAATGACCATTCAAGCTGTTTGCTCCTTGTAATTCCGTCTGCCAGCAGATGCTCACGTCAGTGTTTTTGCCCTTCGTCACCAATTAACCGTTCCCGGAGCCGCAGCTAACTTGGTTAGCCAGGGCGGTATTCAATCCAGCATCGAACCTCCTCACCGTGGGCAAGAAAAGCGGCGGTTTGTACTTTACTCCGCTTCATCACGCTCATGCCGACGGTACATTGAAGGCTGCGCTAACTGAACCCTGGCGCACGAATCCAAGGTTCACGAGCTGCGTGGCGTTTCAGGGAGGTGGGTTTGGAGCGGCGCCAGCCCGTTTCCCACCAATTTTTTCGCCAGCGGGTTTCAACAGTCGGTAGAGAATGGGCTGTCGCTGCGCCAAACCCAGCCTCTTGATACGCCTCTGCGTCTGCAGCAAAAACGACTATACCACGGCCCATGAAAAACCTGCAAGCGACCGTAAAAGATCTGAACACACATAACGAAATGACCAGCGCAGACCTTATCAATTGGTTTCCCTGTGCCGTTGTAAGTTCTTCCAAGAATGTCCTCACTGACGGGCATCCGCAACACATCACCTGTGAACTCGCACACCGTATGCTTGACGTCGATGCCTCTGGTACCTTCGTAGACCTGAAGTAGGTATGACTTTGCAGTTTCAATGGCTACTCCAAAGCGAAGCCCGTGTTGATCGTGTGGGCGGGGATAGTCACCACTGTGTCTTCTTCGCTGGAGCGCCCCTTCTTCTGCGGTTCTAGGAGGAACGCAGGAAGGAGCAAAGGAGGGCACATTGGTTGACTGTCTCCGCCCATACTATCAGTGAGGACTGCGCCTTCAACGTAAATAGACAACCTGAACGATAGCTTTTTCACCACTTGTTTCCAACACTTGCCCCATGCGTTTCGTGCCATTTTTCAGCGTTATGCGAACGATTTCTCCAAAGACAGGGAAT